GCTCTAACTCCATTGAAGCAATGATATCACTATTCCTTTTTAAATAAGCTCGTTGAACATCATAGGTCATAAATCTACGAACAATGTTTGTTTGTGATTAGAGCAAGTTTGATCTTGTTATTTATAGAAGAGACCAACATAAATTGTATCCTCAGTCTTCGACTGCTTTGAGTGCTTCTTCAATAGCAAATCCAACTGTAGTCTCTAATGATATATTGCTCATCTCATGTCTACCTGAAAACGTGTAAGAATAATCCGTCTCTTGCTGGTTCTTATACCAGTGCCCCCTATTTCCCTATATGGCGCTGCTAAAATGATATTTTTCATTGTTACTCCTGTTTAGCAATATCTCCAATAAATGCAAGCGGAGTTTGATCTTTTTAGAATTCATTTTCTCATTTTCATTCTATTCGCTCATATCCAGTATGCTGACAGCACTTATAAGCTGTAGGAGAAGATATGAGAGTAGCAGAAAATGGATGAGTGAAGAGGATCGCAAGGATGGTGGTTGCGTGCACGTTTTTTTTACAGGGAAAAAGGCTACAGGTTCAATGTTGCTTATTTTCGTTGTTCTGCTAATATGTTTGAGCTCGCAGCCTTTCAAAGGTCTTACAGCCGCTTTCCAATCTTGAAACTCGAATATGAGATGTGATTTTTATCTAATTATATACATTTACATGTATGAAACTATTTCTTCTTCCTTGAAGGTGAACTACGTTGAGGTTTGAGATCCTTCATGTCTTCTGGCCTTTTGGGAGGATAAGCAGAGCCTAAATTAAGAACATTTCTACATCTTGAAGCAACATCACTCATTTCGTAAACTCTCAACTATTGTCCAAATTCAAGTGCACTCACCTAAATGTACAGCAAGCATACGACTTTGACAATAGCACTCATCAGTAGTATCGTTGAGCGGCAGAAGGGCATGCGGGCACTGATAGAAAGCCTAAAACATATCTTGATTTTGGGACACAAAATGGAAGCATAATATTTGAGAAAATATGGCAGAAGGCATGTTGTTAACCACAATGTCAAGATCTCGACAAAAATGTACCTGAAGGTCTTCTCCAGCCTTTTCTTCTAATTCACAACCTTGACGATGGCACCGATCACATCCAATTTGTTTTCTGGAAGACTTAGTGTGATAAAAAGTGTAATAGTGGCTTCATGGTTTCTCACTGAAGAGAATATGTGGATGTTACAGATAAATTAATAAATTATAACAGAGGAAAAATGCAAATCTGAGAAACAATTTCTAATACAAGTTCATTCCTTTACCTTGAATAAAAACGAAGTAAATTTCTTTTCATAAATACGTAATTAGAGAATTTTTACTGAGCACAAAGTGTACCCATTTGATTTTTCTGGTACACTGCTA